CTAGAGTTCTGGAGGATTCAGATTAGAGATGTTGGATCAAAACAAGGAAAGAAAAGACTGAACAGAGCCATTCTGTAAACACGGGCCGAATTCTACTATTTGCTGCTCTACCCAATGTTGTGATTACTACTGAGTGCTTCCTCTCTTTGTTTGTTCTTCTGAGCCAACCTTTGTCCTCTCTGCCTAGACGCTCATTTTCCTGGTAGGACACTTTGAGTTCCGGAAAGACGACGATGAATAACTAAGGCTCAGGGAGAGATAAATACTGCTCTGTCTGCAAAACCACAATGCCTGGCAACCAGCTAGAGCCCCACACTTGGAAACAGAAAGAAATCCTGGGGTTTCTAGAAACCAAACCCACTGGAACCACACAACTTCAGACAAAGCCATTGCCTTCCTTGGGCACAGCTTAATACTCTCTAACGATGATCACAGCAGAAGCCCTATGGACATGTGCACTGTAGCAGTTGGGGAGGGTGTGAGGTGGGAAAAAAAAAGTTTTGTTTTTTTTTAAGTTTCCATGCTTTTGAAGCCTGAGTTGAAATAAGGAGAGAGGAAGCAGCTGAGAAAAGCAGGAACTAATAGGGCAGCTGACTCACAGGCGCAGAATCTCAGGTTCATTTGCTCTCAGCAGAAAATTCTCTCTTTCCAATCAGTTCCACTGTTTTCACTTACCGAGCTAATAGCCTAAAAATAGAGATGAATGTGGAACATTATCTTTTAAAAACGCACCTCCCTCTGGGAATGGTAATAAACCATCAGCCATTCACACATTGTTGTGAATTAGTTTAATTTAGTGAGTGGCAATTAGAATGGAGGAAATTTAGAAAGTAAGTAATCAGCCTTTATTTTACACATGAGGAAATGATGGTCCAGAGATGGGAGCTTCTTGCTTGAGATCACACAGAACGTAAACAGCAAACAGAGGTAAGCTGCAGCTACTACTGTCCCAGGTCTCCTGTGAGAGCTGCCGATTCACATTCTCTTGGCATTCATTATGACATTTGTTTATTTATGTGTTTGAGACCGAGTCTCAGTCTGTCACCCAGGCTGGAGTACAGTGGCACGATCTCGGCTCACTGCACCCTCCTCCGCCTCCCAAGTTCAAGTGAGTCTCGTGCCTCAGCCTCCGGAGTAGCTGGGATTACAGGCATGAGCCACCATGCCTGGCCATGACTGACATTTAAAATAGTCATCTGTTGAGCATCCCTAGCATGCCAAGTGCAGGAGGAAGAGTTGGAGACACAATAGATGTGGCTGTCATCTCATGGAGCTGATAGTCCAGCTGGGAGACTGGTAAGTGAATACAGGATCAAGGACCAGTGCCCAGTAAATGAAGCAACTATGACTTCTGCTACGTTATGAAGAAAACAAGACATAGAGATCAAGAAGGAGAACGATTTCAGATGAGGTGGCAGAAGAGGCCTCAGGGAATTTCAGCTGGGATCTGGAGGATGAGAAGGTGCCAACCTCGACAGGAGAGTGTGAATAAGTGTAAAAGTTTCAGGAAAGAAAGCTGCATGTGGTCCAGTAACTGACAAAAGGTCAAGGTGCTTTACATTGGACTTTCAAGATCTGGGTTCAAACCGTGGCTCCATAACCTACCAGCTCTGTGGCCTATGTACCTCCTGAGCTCGGGGATTTCGAGGTCGTAAGAGATAGTGGTTAGAGATATTGTCTTCATCAAACGGCCTTTGAAATTAGAATTCATTCATTTACATTTCACTTGACTTCTGTTTTGGATAGTTATTGCTAAGTTTCCTATGCTATACAGTGACATTTTTCAGTTCTGAGGAATATAAAAATGTCTTTTACTATCACGCTGATTTTCCAAAGTCTAATACTTGGACATTGCTAACTCTGTGGCTTTATTTTAAGATCTTGACACGGTTCTAATTATACATTATATCTTTATTTCATTGTACTGTTGCTTGATAGTACTGAAAAAGATACTAATACACCTGACTCTGATTTTAATATCACCCTTCGCTCTGTATTTTAATTTCTGCTGCCACTAACAAATGGTAGCCTCTGTGAATTTCTGAAACTGCCCTTTCGAGACGGAATGAAATGGATACCATTTGGAGATCACTGGAAAAGCTCAAAGCAAAATTTATTTTATTGTTCTGTTGTTTTCTTGTGAGTCCCATTAGATGGTTCCTGTGCTATCCCATCGTTCTTATTTATCTATTTATGTATTTAAACCTTCAGTTGATGTGTAACATACAGAAAACAGTGTAATAAACTTTCACAAATTGAAGACACATATGCAAACAGCAGCACCCCAGTTAAGAGATGGAATGTTATCAATACTCCAGAAGCCCTTCTTTGACTCCTTAAGTTACAAAACCTTGTAAGGGGGACCACTATTATGACTTCTAATGTCTTATAGTAGTTTTGCCTGCCTTTGCACCTTTTATAAATGAACCCACAAAGTATGTACTCTTTTGTGTCCGACTTCTTTCACTCCACATGTTTGTCATATTCATTCACATTGCTGCCCGTAGTTATAGATCACTTACTGTAGTCGCTACATGGTCTTTCACTGTGGGAAAAGACGACAATTTTTGCATTTTATAGTGGTTGGGTGTTCAGATAGGGTTCCAGCTTGGGGCCACTACAATTAGGGCTGCTGTGAATATTCTTGGACATGCCTTTTGGTGAACATGTATGTACATTTCTATTTATAACTGGGAAGGAAATAACTCGGACCACATCAATTTGAATTTTATTTTTGCATATTCTTTGAGCAATTAACATAAACACATGCTTTAAAATATTCAAAAGTTACAGAAGAGTGTACAGTAGAAAATAGTTGTCCCTCCTACTCCTGCCTGCTAACCACTCCATTCTCCTTCTGAGAAGCTTACTGTTATCCATTTCTTATGGGAAAAAAAAAATATATATATATATATATATATATGGCCCTGGGCACAGTGGCTCACACCTGTGGCACTTTGAGAGGCTGCGGCGGGCAGATCACTTGAGCTCAGGAGCTCAAGACCAGCCTGGCTAACATTACGAGACCCAGTCTCTACTAAAAATGCAAAAATCAGCCAGGCGTGGTGGCACATGACTGTAGTCCCAGCTACTTGGGAGGCAGAGGCACGAGAATTACTTGAATCCAGTCAGCGGAGGTTGCAGTGAGCCGTGATCACACCACTCAACTCTAGCCTAGGCAACAGAGCAAGACTCTGTCTCAAAAAATAATAATAATAATAAATAAATAAGTAAATAAAAATAGCTTTCTTTTTGGAACTATCACATTTTATCAGTTGCAATCACAGCTTTATAAACACATCCTAATTGACTGAACTGCGGTCCTAATAATACTAATAAACCGCGTGTGAACATTATAGTTTACATACTTTTATCTACTCTCACTATTTAATCTTCCCCCAAACTGAGGAGGTAGGCACAGAGTTAAGACAACCATTTAACAGATGAGATAACGAAGCCCCAGAGAAGTCAATCCTTTGCCTAAGAACATGTTGGGTTTCCAATGGCAGAAGTAGGAGTAAATCCAGATTTCTGGCTAAAACTAACTAGTTCTAGTTACCTCCTGCATTAAGGAATCAGAGTTAATATCTGACAGCAACAATGTCAAAACTGACAGTGCCTGGTACCTAGGGCTCCTGTGTCTCTTGGGAGCCAAAGCTGCCCAGGGATCTGTGCTGGACCCAAGCCTCCTTTAGCCAAAAGCTCCTGAGCTCCACAGGGCAGAGTTCTCGGGACCTTGAAAGGAAAGGGGGAAACTCTCATGCCTCCCGACAAAGGTCAGAGATCCCGTGCTCCTTTCCTGCCAGAAAGTCACTCAATCAGATAAATGTGGGTATTTCACTTTTGCATATACCCCAAGAGACAGCTTTAAAAAAGTTACCTACTGATGATGACCGAGCTAACTCATCTCCACTCCCCGGCCTGTTTGTGCATTTGAGGTCTCATGCTCAGAAAGTGATTCATTTCCTCTTTTTCTTTTAGTTTCCTTTCTCTATTTGTCACCTCTTTTTTTTTTTTTTTTCTCTGAAATCAAAATGGTTCTGTTTATAATCACAGATTTCTGGTTGTAATTTGGCCTGTCATGTTTCCACCCAAGCACTGTGGCTTGCAAGCTTTCCCAGGAATGGCTTGTGTGTTTGAAATGAAGAATACACTATTTTAAAGTTTATTCCAGGGACTTTTAGGGTGGAACTGCCCCTCTTACTTGCCCTATTCCCTTCATTTTAGAAGTGGTCTTTTGACTTTTTTCATAGTATTATTTTACTGGTTGTATGTAAGAGGTTTATTTGGAAACAGAACGCTTGTTTGCTGGTGCTGCAAAGAAATAGTACTCGAACATAAATTTAATTTTCTTTTTTTCCCCCATGATCTGTGGTTTTCTTTTTAATTATCTTTAGTCTTGTGATCACACATAATTTTAAAATTTGTATATATCTCTGCTACTTTAATCCCTTTAAGTTGGCAAAAGCACCATTCCCAATCACAGATACACAGTTCAACAGTTTTATGTTTCTGAATGGCTGTTTAAAGACAATCCTAAATTATAACTTAGTTTGACTTACATTGTAAAGAATTCAAGAGTGAAGTTTTAACTTGCTTCTATTTTAAAAGCATGTGACCTTATAGATTTATAAGATGTGAGAAGTGTTGAATAATCTTTAATATTACACATAAACAATACTAAAATGCCTTTCAATAAGTAAAAGGAACCATTTTAAATACAGGGAATTGTAATTAGATTGGCATCGTTAAGGCCAAAACTCTAGACATTGCTACCTTATTTATCTTCAACCCTTGCCTTTAAGAGGCAAATGACAGGTGAATCTTGCTTGGTTCTGAGACAGTGAAGGAATTTCCCCAGTATTTAAATATATTCACATAACCAGCTATATAAATCTAAATATAAAACCAATCTCCAGTAAGTTTTAAGATGGCACGCACCATCTTTGTGAAAAGCTGAACATTACTAATGAAGTCTAATCATATCTTTAGAAGGGGTCAACAGTGATAGCATTTACTGAATTGGAATTACTATTAAAATTCAAAAACTGAACATATTCATTTAACCACAAGCCAGTCTTAGTTTTAAATCAGGACTGCCCAGCAAAATATGCTGTCAGTCATTCACAATCTGAATTCTGGTGTATGAGATCTATTAAAGTATGGTACACATAAAAAAACATGAGACATTTGTTTTGTAATAAATAAGGCAGTGGCCAATTATTACTCATTAGTAGCTTTTTTGAGATAAGCTATCAAGTCTGCCCTTTCTTCCTTCTTTTTAATGCCGACAAAGATCATTTTTGTTCCAGGGATGCACTTCTTGGGATTCTCCAAATACTCCATCAGTGTATCCTCTCCCCAGGTGATGCCTTTGTTCTTATTGGCGGCTGTGTAAGAGTATCCAGGGGCCTGAACTGTCTTCCTCCCAAAGAGACCATGGAGATTTGGCCCAGTCTTGTGTTTGCCTCCCTTTTCAACGGTGTGGCACTGGGAACACTTCATAGTAAAAATCTTCTTGCCCTTCTCAACATTACCCATATTTAATTCTCTTTTTAGTCACTGGTGCAACGAAGATTCCCGCTCCGAAGCAGGACGTCCCCACACTCTAACTAACTTTCTTAGTAAGGCCATTTTTACTTTCCGCAGAAAGGGTGCTCGTAGCAGATGGAACAATGGCGAGAGCACATCCAAACAAAGGAAGGAAGCCATTTTTATTCCTTACGCAGTTTGTCCCTGCTACTTTGTCCTGTCTCCATTGGCCAGAGCCAGACAGCACAATCTAAACTAAAACCTGATTGGCTAACAGTTTAAAACTTTTTAAAATAGGTAAAAGTAATGGAAAGACAAAGGAAAAGAGGAAGTTGCTTATGCCAAATAGGGAAGGGGCATAGGCTGCGAGCTGGAAGGTGCCTGTGGGCATGTCTGTCACAAATATATTGGTTAAGGTACAAGGACATAGAATGTACTACGTGCCTGTGAGCATGTTTAACAGCTACATAGGATAGGGCCTAACAAAGAGTTATTAGCATAAAGTGAGGAGGCTTGAAGGAAATTAGTCTTTAAAAGAAATTATTATTTTTAACATTTATGATTTATTTTTTAACAAGGGAAACTTTGAAGAGGGAACTTTTTACTTTCTACATTACTGATCCAAACTTTTATATTCCTAGGAAGTCAAATGTGTCCTTGGGATTTAGTCTTCACAGCAGACTTTCAAAATCCAGTCCAGTCCTAAAATGATGAAAATACTCACCTATGATTTATTTAAGAACTTTTCAACGTGTTTGATATTTATATTTAAACATGTGAAATTCTGGAATTTGTTTTGATGCAGATAATGAGGTAGGAAACTGACATTAATGATTTTTTCTGAATGTATAATCAATCGTCTTAAAACTACTTATGGAGGCTGGGCGCAGTGGCTCACGCCTGTAATCTCAGCACTTTGGGAGGCTGAGATGGAAGGATCATCTGAGGTCAGGAGTTTGAGACCAGCCTGACCAACATGGTGAAACCCCGTATCTACTATAAATACAAAAATTAGCCGGGCATGGTGGTGGATGCCTGTAATCCCAGCTACTTGGAAGGCTGAGGCAGGAGAATTGCTTGAACCTGGGAGATGGAGGTTGCAGGGAGCAGACATTGCACTACTGCATTCCAGCCTGGGCGACACAGCAAGACCCTGTCTCAGAAAAACAAAAACAAAAACAAAAACAAAACAAAACAAAAAAACCCACTTATGGAATAATCAATTCACTTTGTCTTCACTGAATTGAAATGCCACCTCCATCATATACATTATTCCTACATTTTGAGATCTGTATCTTTAGCTCTCTGCTCTGCAGAACTATTTAATACTGTGTTTATATTTGCTTTGTAATATTTTAAAGGGTAGGGGTGGTTCTCTATGGGCTTCTTACATTCCTAAAAAAACTCTTCATGGCATTCTAATTGGAATTGCATTGTGTTCACAGAATAATTGGGCAGAGGAATGTCTTCTCATCCAGAAATCCTTCTTCCATTATGTCCTTCAAGACACAACCAGGATTCTTCATTTAGGTTTTGCGTACGCCTTAGTAAGCATATTGATAGTTTTAATTTTGTTCAGAGATGGGTTCTTGCTCTGTTGCCCAGGCTGGAGTGTAGTGGCACCATCATAGCTCACTGCAACTACAAACTCCTAGGCTCAAGCGATCCTCTTGCCTCAGTCTCCTAAGTAGGTGGGACTACAGCTTTAAGCCACCACACCGAGTCTAAACATATATATTTCTTTGTTACTAATTGAATGGTGCTTTTTAAAAACATTGATTTTTCTAACCGATTATGACTGAACTACAGCCTGTTATTGTTGGACTATAATAGACTATAAGAAGGCTGTTTTATTTTTCTTTTCTCTTTTAGAGATGGGATTTCCCTATGTTGCCCAGGCTGGTCTCAAACTCCTGGGCTCAAATGGTCCTCCTCCATTACCCTCCTAAGTAGCTAGGATTACAGGCACAACCCACAGAGCTCAGAGTCAAAGTCTGTTTAAAAAACTAATGTGGTATCGGCTGGGTGTGGTGGCTCATGCCTGTAATCCCAGCATTTTGGGAGGCCAAGGTGGGGAGAATCACCTGAGGTCAGGAGTTCAAGACCAGCCTGGCCAACATGGCAAAACCCCACCTCTACTAAAAATATAAAAATTAGCTAGGTGTGGTGGCAGGTACCTGTAATCCCAGCTATTCGGGAGGCTGAGGCAGGAGAATCACTTGAACTCAGGAGGCGGAGGTTGCAGTGAGCCGAGATCATGCCACTGTACTCCAGCCTGGGCGACAGAGCAAGATTCCATCTCAAAAAAATAAAAGAAAGAGAGAAAAGAAAAGAAAAAAAGACATGCCAGGACTGTAGGCACCCACCTGAAGCTAGGAGAGGGAGGGAAGGATTCTTCTGGAGGCTTCATAAAGAGCATGCCCTGAAGGCACCTTGATTTTGGACTTCTTGAGTGCTGTGGTGTGATCTTGGCTCACTGCAACCTGATCTCAGCTCACAGCAACCTCTGCCTCCTGGGTTCAAGTGATTCTCCCACCTCAGCCTCCCAAGTAGCTGGGACTACAGGTGTGCACCACTGCCTGGCTAATTTTTGTATTTTTATTAGAGACGGGGTTTCACTATGTTGGTCAGGCTGGTCTCGAACTCCTGATTTTAAGTCATCCGCCCACCTCGGCCTCCCAAAGTGCTGGGATCATAGGCGTGAGCCACCGTGCCTGGCCTGAGAGAATACATTTCTATTGTTTTAAACCACCTAGAGTGTGGTACTTTGTTACAGCAGCCCTAGGAAGCTAGCATAAGATAAAATGTCAATTACAATGATGCTGAAACAAAAAAAACAAGACATGTTCGACTACAGTGTGGTTCTACCCTGGTCAGGAAATATGGGAGTTTTAATAAGATAGGTTGAAACAGTGACTATCTTTGCTGACACTGCCATTTGTACTAGAATTACCATAATATTTTTACAAGTCACACTGTCTCGGGTCTTAGCTTGGTTAATCTACTCACACCACAGCCAGAGTGACTTTCTAGAGTTTTATTACATCAACTACCTGCTAAAAACCTTCCATAGTTCCCTACTGCCCCTACGATAATATCCAAACTTCTCCAGTGGCTTTTCTCCCCATCGCTTCTTGCCACTCCTGGCCTCACACTGCTGTCAGTCTGCCAAGAATGTCCTTCTTCCCTTTGGTTAGTGTGATTGCTTGGTCAACTTCTATTCGAGCCTCAGGTCCCTATGTGGATGCCTTTTCCTACTGATTGCTCTCCCCAGCAACCCTGTAGTCTGTGTTAATTTCCCTGGCTCAGGACTGACACACATCTTATCGCACCTGCTGGGTTACTATCTATATCACCCTCTGGCCTTGCTACTCAAAGTTGTCCACAGAGCAGAAGCAGCAACACAGCCAGAGTTCATGAAAGATGCAGAATCTCAGGTCCAAGCAGAGCTCTAGAATCAGATGTACATTTTAAGAAGATACTCAAGTGATTCTTAGGCACATGAAGTTTCTGAGTTACTGGTCTCTCAACCGAAGATTGCATAAGAGGCAGGGGGCATTGCTTTCCCTTGGTCTAGTTCAGTGTCTGTCTTTTTGTTTTTTTATTTGTTTGTTTGTTTTTTGAGACAGAGTTTCGCTCTTGTTGCTCAGGCTGGAGTGCAATGTCGTGATCTCGGCTCACTGCAACCTCCACCTCCCGGGTTCAAACAGTTCTCCTGCCTCGGCCTCCCCAGTAGCTGGGATTACAGGCATGTGCCACCACACCTGGCTAATTTTGTATTTTTAGTCGAGATGGGTTTTCACCATGTTGGTCAGGCTGGTCTCGAACTCTTGACCTCAGGTGATCCACCCACCTTGGCCTCCTAAAGTGCTGGGATTACAAGCGTGAGCCACACCGTGCCTGGCCTCAGTGTCTGTCTTAAAGAGAGATTTTTTTTTTTTTTTTTTTTTTGAGACAGATTTTTACTCTGTTGCCCAGGCTGGAGTGCACTGGCGCCATCTCGGCGCACCGCAACCTTTGCCTGGGTTCAAGCGATTCTCCTGTCTCAGCCCAGCCTCCCGAGTAGCTGGGATTACAGGATTACAGGCATGCACCACCACGCCTGGCTAATTTTTGTATTTTTAGTAGAGACGGGGTTTTGCCACATTGGCCAGGCTGGCGGACTCCCGACCTCAAGTGATCTGCCTGCCTTGGCTTTCCAAAGTGCTGGGATTACAAGCGTGACAGATATAATCCATCAAATACTGCGGCTAATTTCCTGTTAACAAACATGTTATACAGGAAAACAACAACAACAAGTTTCCCTTTTATTAGAACAAACACAATCAGATCTACAGCCTGTATATTTTATCCCAGACTGACTCTAAATATGCCTCATTTATATCTCATATCTTCTTGTTTAACGGTCAAATCCTAGTTTGTGCATGAAATGTACGAATGACTATTCTATTACTAATCATGCTTGTCTTGTTTGTCATTGTGGTTCATATATACATATATATACTTTTTTTTTTTTTTTTGAGACGTATATACTTTTTTTAACACTGACATTGAAATGATCAGATGTGCACTGTCATTTTTGAACTTGTTTCATGAAAAAGGATTATCTAATAGTTTTTAAAAATGTCATTTTCACCAGTCTTACTTAAAAAAAAAATAATAATAGAGAATTCTAACACTTCACGATACATTTTTATTAATTATTTTGTTTGGTCAAATATCTCTATGTTTATATTTGTTGCAAGTCCAACATTAAATGATACTCCCCTTTTCCAGAGAATATACAGTTAAGAGAGGCTATTCACTCTGCTTCTTCTAGCTGCTGCTGCTTTTTTTTTTTTTGAGATAGGGTTCTCACTTTGTCTCTCAGGCTAGAGTGGAGTGGCTCGATCATAGCTCACTGCAACCTCCTCCTCCTGGGCTCAAGCAATCCTCCCACCTCAGCATCCCGAGTAGCTGACACTACAGCTTGTACTTGTATTATCCGCAGGGACGGGGTTTCGCCATGTTCCCCAGGTTGGTCATGAACTCCTGGACTCAAGCGACCCCCCTGCCTCCACCTCC